TCTGTCTGTTTTCTCTCCCCACCCACCCACCCCAATCACCACCACGACTTTTCCTCCACTCCCCTATCCTCCAACTCTCTTCCCCTCCCATCCCTATCAAAGGAGTTCCCGTTTAGGTAAGTAGTAATATTTCTTGTGCATGCGGCGGAGAATGTGTCTGTGAATCTTGAGTGTACTGTATGCATGCTTCGATTTATTTCGTGTCTCTATTTTTATACCGGAGCAGGGTGGAGGAAGAGGGAGGGAAGATCCTACTTGTCTGTTTAACGAATTTGGTGCATGCACGGAGCCCCAGACACAGGGAATTCTTGCAGAAAGGGGAATCACCCTGTCGGTAAATCTCTGAATCAATAGCAAACTGCAACTCTCTCGATCCCTCTCTGTCGGCGCTATAGAGTCCCTCTTTCTCTTTCGACCTCTACTCGCTGCTCTTCCCCCAACACCCTCCCTCCCCGTTTTCAGAAAGATGGCTTAGACGCAATCTAACGGTAGGATTTCTCTTAGCTTGAGAGAGAATTAGCAAGAGAGAGAAAAGGACAAGCGGACAGGAGAATTTTCGGTCTAATCTGCACTAAGACGAAAGGGGTTGGTTTGCTGCGTCTCATTCTCAGAAAGCTAACGGGCATTTTCCGCCTGGAGCTGTCCACGGCTCCGGGTACTGAAAGAGCGAGCAGCCCGCTTTAACTTTCGTTCCCCAGGCGACTGACCTCTTCGCAGTGCAATCGCTAGCGGACCCTTTTTTGCTCGTCGGCAAGAAGAGCCGTTTATACAAATGGCGGTGGGGCCAAGGAGCAGAAAGTGTCCAGAACTCTCCCAGATTGTGACTTACGTGCCAAGAGCTTCCTTTTCTAACCGAGGGTTTTGTATCAGGTGCGTAAAAGCACAGTTCTGGTTTGACTTGCCTATCCTTTTCCCGCCTGTGCATTTGAAAGAGCCGACACCTGATGATGGTGCTTCTCAAAGAAGAGTCTATAGGTTGTTTCACTTGGACTCACCCCTTCTCCTCCCACCTCGTTTCACCCCTCCCAAATGCCCACATCTTCTGCCTATCCTCGAGGGTATGCCTTTGTTGTTCTTGCCCTTTCTTCACCCCTCTTAGAGACTTCCTCACCAAATGAGTTGGTGGAAGAATGGGAAGTGGAGACAAAGCAATGCTGAGAATTTATCGTAATGTGTACATTCAGCAGATACAGGATACAAAGCCCAGTCATTCCCGGGTATCTTCTTAAAGCCAAGAATGTTATTTTTAGATAGTGACCATACTATCACAGAAGCATTTCTGGTTAGCAGAAGCCCCACCATCAGAAGAATCTGCAACATAGGTTCACCCCAGTGTTCACATTTATAAATCCATTTGGTCATTTAACTCAATATTTGACAAGAAAGGGAGGGAGGAGGTGAGTGTGTGAACACTTTAGGAAGGAGCCTGAAATCAGCCCAAAATGAAGAAATGAAGCACCTACCACATGCAAAGTTCAGCAACACCTATTGTTTTGCAGACACTAAAATCTGCAGGCAGAATTGTAAGATGGTACACTAGATAATAGATAAATAGGGTTTGTTAAAGCAGTCATGGCTCACGTTGCTTGAAATAGCTTGGACAGTTCTTGCTACAGAAACAAAGCAGGCGTGATGTCCTAAAAATATCAAAGGAGGAGTCCATTCCTGGGGCTTGCTTGGTCCCATCACAAAAGAGCTGGGTGGTCCTGAGAGTAGACCTTTCAGGTGATTCATATTGTATATGCCAAGTCTCTGCAACCTAAGAAGGCTTTCCCATCCTCTTGCCATAGATTTCCCGAACCTGCCTGCACTTTTGCCAGATCACACTCTGGCATCTCCCAGGTCAATGTATAAGATTACCCTTAACTGGATCTTATTAAATAATTCAATGGCGGTGGTATAATTTCGCTTGCAAACTGCACGGATTTCCAAGTCGTGACTGTAAAAGTGAGTAATGTGTGCTGGCTGCGTCATGGCTCCAGTCACAGATGGTTCCAAACTGAGGAGAAATCGTGACTTCGACTTGAGACGTCCCCTCTACATGAAAAGACCATCCAATCAAAACGGCGTTGGGGGAGGGGGTGGACTGGACTCCTCTGAGCCTCTTTGCCTTTTTTGCTCCCCCATGCTTGTGCATGTGTGTGTGGGTATCAGGTTTTACACATTCCTCTCTCTCTCTCTCTCTCTCTCTCTCTCTCTCTCTCTCTCTCTCTCTCTCTCTCTCTCTTTTCTCTCTCTCTCTCTCTCTCTCTCTGTGTGTGCGTGCGCGCGTGCTCACAAAGACTTGTCGCAACAAGTTGCAGAAAGAGAACTGGGGCAGCGAGGGAAGGGTTAATCTTTAGGAAATCTTATGCACTTAGCAAGATCGTGACCCTCCCACACACTACAGTAGTTTATACATACCTGGAGGAAGGGATGCTTGCCACGAGCTTCCTTTTTTAAAACAACAACAACATACACACGCGCGTGCACAGACATTGGGGGAGGTGATGCTTGTTCCTCCAAGCAAGGATTATTCCTATCACAATTGTCACCAGAGGCCGCTAAGCGCCTGGCGAAAGAGGTAAGTGAAAGGGATCCTCAACTTGTGGTCCTCTCTTCCATCCTCTCTTCCCCAGTCCAGAAGGTCTCGAAAGCAAAGCCAGTTGAGGGTGAAGCCGCAGCAGGGGCCGCCGCCGCCGCAGCAGCAGCAGCAGCAACAGTAGCACCACCACCACCAGTAAGAGCAGTACTAGAAAGGAAAGAGGAAGCAGGTATTGCTCAGTAGGAGTTTGCCTCTTGACGGGGCTGCGCTGTTGCTGTTGCTGCTGCTGCTGCTGCGTTGCTGCTGCTGCTGCTGCTGCTGCGGCTGCTGCCGGAGAGCTGTTGCTTGTCAAGGTGGCTTTGCCGAGGGAAAGGCAGCGAAGGTAGGAGCTTTCGGGTCTTCTAGAAGGAAGAATCTCTCTCGGTGGGCTAGGGGGGAAGTCGCTGGGCGGAGGTAGTCAAGAGGGAGGGGGGTGTCAACCAAGTTTCTTGGGTCCCCGGAGGAGAATCTTGTCTTATTTAACTTGGCGATGAACTTCATGGGAAAGTGTCCGCTGCCTTTCACTGCTGTAGACCAGGCACCTTTGCGCGGGTTCAGTGCCCAGCAGGGGTGTGTGTGTGTTTGAAATTAGTTCGATGCCATCTCCTGCAACTTTTGGCTTGGAAGGCGTTTATTCCGCCCACTTCTGTGCCCCTTCTTCGGGCTTTTTGGGGGGTTGGACAGACGCTCAGAAGCCACTGATGGGAGAATGAAACGTACATCCCTTCGAACTAGCCACGCTCCCAATGCTGAGGGACCTTATCTCCAATAGCCAGTCTTATGGATCAGCTACAGCCATTGGTTGACCTCCACCAGAGGGCTTTTCCTTGGGTGGAAAGATCCGGTGAAAAGGAATCAGGTGAACCTTCACGGATCTGAACTTTTCTACTTGTGGTTTTCTTCTCCTTCATCATCCTCATCACTATCCTCACCATGCCCACTTGGCTCACCAAGCTGGTCCTTCGGGTGCGTTTGGTTGTGTTGTGTTTAGTTTTAAATCTTGCTACTCGATATCAGGACCTACGGCTGTTTCATCTGGAACCCTAGTCTATCCTAAGATACCCACCCACCCACCCCCCATCTTCAACCCCGGGGCAAACAGGGAGGAAGAAGTCTTAACAGGCATAGCAACACTATGGACTGTGGTCTTATCTAAGGTTTGTTGAATAATTAGACATGGAAATGTTTCTTCTCTTTCCCTTTGCCCCTCCCCTTTGGGGAAAAAGAGGGAGAGAAAGAAAAAAAAAGTAAGACGCCACCTGATTGGCGAGTGACGATTTTAGCTCGCACCAATGAACGGCGGGCCTCGTCTCTATTTATTTAGGGCTCAGGGGGAGAGTTTTCTCTTTACGCAGCGTCTGTGCACAGCGCTGGACCCTCTGCTCGGGAGCAGAGCGGTGGAGGGGTGTGGGGGGGAGCGCATTCGGAACTGCCTGGCTCACAGAGCCCCTTGCTCCTGCAACCCAGTGCTCTCGGCCCCTTCATGGGGACAGCGAAGGAGGGGGCTGGATGTGAAGGGCTGGGCCAAGCAATCCCCCCCACTCCACCCCTCCTTTCTTCCCTTCCCCTCCTCTTACTCTCCTGAGTTGGTATCTCGGCTCGGGCTCGCCGAGGTACTCGGCGGGGATGGAGCGTGTGTGAGTGAATGGACGGTGGGGCGGAAGGTGTTCCCTACAAGTGCTTGAGAAATCAGCAACCCGCCGTCTTGGATCTATGCACACGGTTTTTTTTTTTCCTCTTTGGTGGCAGCCGGATGGATGAATGTAGAAGCCACCGGAGACGTTGTCCTTCGCGAATCTTTTTGCGGTCTGGGCTTGCTGTATATAAGTACCTAGCCGGGAAGCCCTTACCCCAAAAAGCATTCGCGGAGGGCGCTTTCGCCGAAGGAGCAGCAGCTGCGCGACCGCCGAGACTTGGACTTACCTAGACTCTGGGCTTTCCCTTTGCTTTCTCCTCTACCCCCACGGACCCCTCCGTCCTGTGTGTGTGTGTGTGTGTGTGTGTGTGTGTGTGCGGGCGGGCGGGCGGGCGTGTCGCGAGGATTAAACGGCTTGCCCCAGTCCCTACGATCCCTTCCGAGCTTAACTTTCTGAATCGACTTCTGCTCGCTTCCCCCCCCCCCCCGTGGATAATTTGGTGGTGCCTTTTTTATTATTTTTTTTAATCGCCGAATAAAATGCAATAAAAACTTTCGCAAAGTTTGGAGGACGCCCCCTGCCCCCACCCTCCCCGCTTGAAGGGTGTGATGAGTTTCACACCCCACCCCCCCCTTCCACCCGATCAGGATTGGAACTGATGTGCATTTGACCTCCCGTAGACGAAGGCAAGGAGCGTCGTCTGGGTTTAAAATGGGGGAGATTTCCAAAGGACAGTGGCTGGGAGATGATGGGGATCACCCCCTAAATAATAGGGTGGGGGGGGGGGGGAAAGACGAGGAGCAGCCGTGGTCCAGGGGAGCCTCAGGTATTAGGCGACCCCTTATCCTTCCTCCGCTTCACTTCCAACCTCCTTTTTAGGCAACTTGTAATCCTCTGGTCTCCCAGGTCACCCTTTTTCCAGCTCGGAGCGGTCCTGGACTTGGTTTTAAAAAAAGAAAGAAAAAAAGGCCAGATCCCGCAAAGAAGAACACAACCGAGGCGGCTGGGAGCGAAAGAAGCCGCCTCAGCCTCCGCTGCCTAGCGCCAAGGAAAGCGCCTCGCCTTCCCTTGGTCAGACCTAGCGCACGGCGAGGAGTTGGAAGGAGCTTGCTTGCCTTGCTTTCCCTTTCCCCTTGTCCTGGCCACCCGACAGAAAGGTGCGGGAGGTTTCCCTTAATGGTTCCCCCCCTCCCTCCCGCCTCGGAAGACAAATGGGGGAAGTGCTCCGGCCGGGAGACCGGACCAGTGAGAGGGAAGGGGCGAACTGCAAGGTGCCAGTGGAATGCTCGGTTGTCGCTAACGAAGGGCCTATTGGTTGCAAAAGCCTTCTTGGGAGGGAAGGTAGGAGGGGAGGAGGGGGAACCCAGATATTCCAAAGGCTCCTTCTCTAACTATTGACAACTCTCAGGATCTCCCTTCTTCCAGCCAATAGAGAGGGGAAAGTGCTCCGCTCAAGGCAGGAGTTCCCTCTGGCTCAGGAGAGAAAGCTGCAGTGGAATCGGGGCGATTGGCACAGCCCAGGCTAAGGGCTGCTCCTTCTCCAGAGATAAAAGGCCATTTGACAACCTGGGGGGGTGTCGGAAAAGAGTAAAAAGCCGACTAAAAGGTGAGCGGGTAAGCCCGGGAAAAGCAAAAAAAAAAAAAAAAAAAGGCAGCTCAGCTTCCTTTCCCATCCTCCTCGCTCCCAAAGCCAAGATTCGTGACTCCTAAGCAAAGGAGATAGAGAAAGGTTACATCACGAGGACCACTCCATTCCACAGCCAAGCCTGCCTTTGCCCACAGCGGTTGCCTTTTGCATCTTTGCCTTCGTACACAACCTTCAGCCCCACCAACCAGCCTTGCCTTCCTTCCCCATCAGCAGCAGGTCCCATCTGCAGGGGCAAAGCCCCTGGCAGTTCTTAAGAGAAAAGTGTACTAAAGAAAGAGGGGGGGGGGAGGAAGAGAGGAGTGCAGAGATAGGTCTGTATTTGTGTGGTGTATCCCAGTGGCAGAAGAATCCCACCCTTGGCAAGCTGGAAGGAGAGAGGTGTCTGAAGAGATGCTTTAAAAAAAAAAAAGAAAGAAAAGAAAAGCCCAACTACCCAAGGTTAATGTCTTGCCTTGGCTTCTCAGTTCTCACATTGGCAGCCAACTGTTGATACCAGTCTGGAGAAACTACTGCAGTTGTGGGGATCTTAATGCTGCTTTTCAGCTCCAAATGCCAAAGGGCAAAAGCAGATCCTGAATTCTTGCTTCCTTTATGTCCACTCCCCCAGTTTTTCTCTGTGTATGCTTGTAGCATCTGGAAGGGGATTGCTCTTTTTGGGTAGCTTTCCACTATCTCTGCTCAACACACAGCAGCTGCCTAAGAGGCCTGAGGTGATGGGCAACAAAAATATCTACCTTGCCCCTTCAGAAGCTCCCCAGTTTGGGTGTGTTCCCCCTGATTGCATAGTTTTATACAGGGTTTCTCCTCCAATGAATAAACAGGGATGTAAGTCTCACTCGTCTGGAGTACAGAGAAGGCCTCAGCCTCTTTTAGCTTTTCTCCCAATTAAAAAGTCTCATGTTTTTGCAGACAGAAGCTGAAGGAAAAGCTGGGGATGCATTATAGGGGGATGCTGAATTTCTCCCCTTCCCACATTTCTAGGGAAGAGTGGGGGAATGGCTAATTGTTAATCATTCTGCATAGCTCACCTTTGTGCTGTTCTCACTCACTTGTGGGGACTGTTTGTTTTCAAGGGGAAAAGTGATGGGGAAAAAAAATCTTCTGTTTCTCAACGACACCTCTGGACCTTCCCCATCTAAAACCATAGCGCTCTACCTTTCCATTTCAAATGCTTGCCAAACATAACCAAAAGCTAAGGCAAACTGCCTGCAGGTTAAGCTAAGCTGAGTCTGAACGAACTAAGTCAACTCTTCTCAGAGAAACTCAAGGTGTCTTGGAAGGAATGGACAAAAATAGGCTCTGTCTTTCTCAATATTCTTTATGTACTTCACCTCTTGTTATTCCCTCCTCCCTTGCCCCAATGTATCCTGAAAGAAGTTTGAATTCAATATTTCTCATCCGGTGACTGCCTTAATACTTCCCACCCTTTTCTCCATACCCTTTTGTGAAGCCTGCAACAGAATCTCTTGTCCCCACCCCCCCATCCTGTATGGCAGCAGCAACAGCTGTAAGCATTAAAGCAGAGTACATTGTGCTTCCTTGCAGGTGAGGCCCCTACATTTGGCCTGAATGAGGCCTTTCACAGAGATCTTATCTCCAAGGAAAGAGAGCCGAAGAGGACTCACCAAAGTTGGGAGAATGCAGGTGAGAAAGATGCCTATGTTCCCACAAAATCTCTAACAGACTGAACTGAATTACCACCAAAGGTCACTAAATAGTAATTTGCTCTTCTGATCAACGCCATTATTCCTGGAGCAGAGTACAGGGAACCATCAGGAGATTCACTAGGTAGGCCCGGCTTGTGCCATTTTTGGTTGTGCTCATGGTAGATCATCGGTAGGATTTAGGCCTTAAGTAAAGGTGTTTATTTGCTTCCTGAAGATTTTGGGAAAAGAAGAGAAAACCCACGATAAGCAAATTTACTGAAGATATGATTTATTTTTTCAACCATCTTGGAGATGGAAATGGGGAGGGGGCAGGATGCTGACATAATTTCAAGTTTGTTCTTTCCAAAACACAGACAAAAAAAAAAAAAATGTCAGCAGGAAGCAGAATCCACGTTGTATCCTCCCTTGGCCTTGCAAACCCGAAGCCAGTCGCTAAAGTTCAACTGAGAATGGTCAGCATTCATTTTGTATTCCTTAGAAATATAACTCACGTTTGAAGTTAAAATTCACGGCAAAGATGCCTGTCTTTCCTGCCCAGCTCTTTCCTAAAGGAAAGTTTTTCCAATCCCAGTTTTTTTTCAAAAGGCCTTTAAATATGCTAGGATGTTAGGCTAAAGAATATTTCCCATAATCCCCAAATATACTTATTGACTTATTCAGCAGAATGAACAACTAGATAGATAAACTAGATTATCTAGATTAACTAGATAAAAATCAAGCAGAAGGAGATGGTCAGTCTTTATTTGGCCTTCTGCAAATGGAAATAAAATGAGCAGTTTAATTAGCTAGGGAAGCCTGTGCTTCTGGAAAAAAAACAAACGATAAGGCTTTCTCAATTTCTTGCGCCTGTAAAACATGCTTTTCAGTAGAAATAACTTGTTCGGTGCCTAGGTTAAGCCCAACTTTCTATATTTGTTTAAGAACTGTGCAGATAAAGGTGTTTATGGATTAGCTAATCCCATTGACCTGTGGTCCAAAATAAAAGGTTTGGACCCTCTTACCTTGAAATCCTCTTGCTACATCACCATTTGAATGGGCCCACTCTCTAGGGATTAAAAGTTTACTCAAGATGCAACCTTAATGGAAGAGGATTTTCTAGAGACTGAACTGACTAGGATTCACATATACATGGACAGGGAGAGGGGGCAGAGAAATCTAAACTATTAACGTACATCATGATTTCCATTTACAGTAACTCCTATCCCCAGACTGGTCAGTGGTTTGACAACAAAAGATCTAACCCAGGAGTAAAATAATTTATTGTTCAATTGCAGTTTAAATAGCCTTCCTAAGTCTGTGAGTTCGCTTGTTATCATAGAGGAAGAAAATTAGGCCCAAACATTGGCCTAATTGTTGGTTTTCTGTCCATAAGAAGATGCAATACTGCTTGTAGATATTATATTATTAGAGTATACAGTATTTTTGAACTGTAACCCAGCTGTGTTCAAATTGTAACTGGACAAGATTGCAGCCATGAATATAGTTACACCACGAAGGGACTCTGTTATCTGCTGACCTCTATATAGCTTCAAGACCATGGTTAAGCAGTGATTAGAAGCTTTTTACCTGAAACAAAGAAAATCTAGGAAGACTTATTTTTCCTTGAATCTCACTTAGAAGCAAATTGTAGCTGGGTCAATATCTTCAGAAATGTCACAGTTTATGTTAAAATCTAGAGAAGTTTGGAATGTTGTTCATATAGCAAACTAAATTTAATCCATTTATAGCAGGAAGATATTGACCTGCTTTCATATACATACAATCATTTTTTTTAAAAAAGAGGAAGATTCACTTTGTTTTATTGGTCTGTTAAAAATAAACAGAATGAGAAATGATCACTTAATTTATCAGTTTATAAGTAGCTTTAATTGAATATTTAACCCTAAAGTATATGTAAGATGGCTACATTTGGGATTCTCCGACTTAAAGTAAAAGTTTTTCAGGATCTCTTATATTAGAGCCCATTGCTGTCATTGTACCTTGGCCTTTAATTGCATAGGAAATTATTATCTTATAATGCACAATTTCTGATAACGTAGCAGAATGTTTTTCAAAAAAATGCTATTATAGTCTGGTGGGCATTGCAAATATGTTGCTATTTATTACATTTTCTTGGGCCATGTTTTTTTTTTTTTTTACAGTGTGAAAGGCTTAGACTTGGCAGTACTTAACATCATCTGCTATTGTGATAAAAATATTGTTTATATATTTATATATAGAAATACCATGCTACGCAATACCAATTCTATTCACAGTTTCTTGGAAATAAGTCAGTCTGATCTGAATGAGAGTTATTCCCAAGTACATTTCATAGGACTGCAACCTTGATTTAAGACAGGCAGAATATCAACCATGCAGATTATTTTTGGTAGAGAAATGTGGAAAATATTGCATTGAATAAATATCTTTAGAATATTCTTTTACCCTAGCTAACCACATTCATGCTGGTGAACTATATGAGTTTTCAGCAGGAGAAATAACACTGAACTTTGTGGGCCCCTTAGAAACTTACATTTGACATGCTATAAATCTTTTGTTGTTTTGATATTTATTTTTATATTGGCACTATGAGGGAATTTGATAATAAAGGTAAGGGCTTAATCTCAATAAAATTAAAGTGACATTTCTTACTTGGGAGAAAGGCCCATTATCCACAGTGAAACCTGTTTCAGGATAAAACTTCAAATAATTTAGGAAATACAATTTCTTTCTTGTTTTAGCATGACGTAAAGCACAAACAGATATATCTAAAACAATATGTAGTTGTTTTCCCATCAGTTGTAGGTTTGCTTCCTCACCACCATTCTCCTTAATGGTATACGTAATCAAATGCCATTTTCTGTCTTCTCTCTATTGCATTGTTTTGCTCACTTTGAGCTGTTTTTCCCTTCAAGCATTTTACACTTTTTTATCTGACAAAATACCACTTTATTTATTTCAAGAAATTCCTATCATCAATCTTTCTCTATCTATGAAAAAGTGCTTCAAAAAAAGAGAGGTACACTTTGACAATAAGCATTAAGCATACCAAAAGAATAGGTTTCCCTTGAATTTGATACAGACTGAAGCAGGATTATAAATCTATCCAGCTGTGATGAATATATTTCTTAGCAAATCTACTGACCGAAAGATGCATATTTATTTCACCTTGGTTGAGGGAGATTTATAACCTTATCAGTGCTGACAAATTCTTGTATCCTAATTTCTTATCAGACCCCTAACTCCATCCTTGTTCAGTTCTCATTTCACTCATTCAATAATTTCTGTAGGCCAGTCCTAATTCCTCCTTTGCTTTAAGGCAACACCAAGAAGCTGATTTGTGTTATAGTGGCTTCTGGTTTACCTGGAAATAAACTGAACTGATGAATTATAAACTTCAACATATTAAATGTATTATTCTTGAAAATCTGGGAATTAGCTCAAAAGTCATTGTGGTTTTGTTTTTTATTTTGAGGTTTTCAGCACCTCTATATTCCCACTGAATGTTTTATAATTCAAAAGTGCAGATTTCTCATATCTGATTCTTTTAAAAATGACAGTGAGTATGTCCCATGAAACTATAGCTATCTAATTTCTATTCCCCTTTGTCCAATAAGAAAACTAATTAATGTACATGAGTGTCCAAGCACACTCTGTATAAATGCACAGTAAATTCTGTGTTTCACATTTTGAATCTCTCACATAGTTTACACTATTAAAATCAGAAGTAGTTGCATTCCCATATATAGGTAATTTCCCTTTTCTTTAACAGAACTGCAAGCTCATTGGAGTGAAGAGAGATCTTACAATCCTTCTTACAATTAATATCACTTCTTTAGGGAGGGCCAAGTTGCCACTTTACAAACTGTGCACCCCTATTTCCTCACTAGCGGTTCCCATCGTAAGAAATGTCACACACTTTTCTGCTGACTCACTTGGGAAGAGAAAAAAAAAAAGCAAGCTTTTTTCCCCAGTGTAAGATAAAGCATCAACAACAATCTTTAAATATCTTTAGTAGTTGTCTCTAGTATCATCTACTTGGTTAGGATTAGTTTGGTTAAATCAGGACTTCTGTTTTTGTTGTTTCTTCAAACCATTATTTTTAAGATGCTGCACAGTGATATTGCTGGGGACAAAAATTAGGCCCCATTAGTGGTAGCAAAATAGGGCATTTTAAAATTCATATGTTAGTACAGATTGTACAGTATTTGGATGCAGAGGACTGAAAAACAGACTAAGAAAATTTTGGTTAAAGAAAAATTACGATTTTTAAAAGAAAAAAAATATCTTGGATTTTTAAAATATGATTTCTTTTAAAGTTATAGATATATCCAAACTTTATATATCATATAAGGTTAGGAAGAAGGTTTATTATTTGATTTATATTTGTCATTACAGTATGTATGTCAACAGGTAGGTGCAATACATTGATATAAAAGAGATCCTCTAAATTAAATATAGTTGAGGCCCTTCCAGTAACTTGTTTTTCACTTTAAATTATCAATAAAGGAGAATATTCGTAGCTCAGGGTTGAAATGAGGGGTCCTGACTAGCACCGATGATGTTACCTAGTTTACAAGGAAACAAGTTCAGGCAGCACCAAGATCCGTCATTTAAATTATCAAATCAGAGTCATGCAAAGAGCTCTGAAGCCAGATTTTATATTTGAGATAAATTATAGAATTATAAAGAAATATAGAAAATGTAGGACAGGAACCTTGTTTTTAAATGATAACAGCAACAAACTATTTCTGTAGCATAGCAAAACAATGGTCCTTTCATATAGTTTCATGAGGTCCCAGCCTGGTTTTGTATAAATTAAAGCTGGAACTACACTCGTTCTTTAAAATGGCCATCAGTGTTATCTTAATCAGTTCATAAAAATCACAATGTTAAATTTCAGGATTTTTTTTTAATTAAGTAATAAACCTCTTTTCTTTATTAGTTATACTCATATAATTATAAGTATAACTTATAATTATAAGCCATTTCATTTGA